TTAAGCTTTGTTTTCCAAAAATATATCAAAATGAAGTGAGTTTGAGCTTGAGCTTAAAACAAGAAAAAAATATCTGCCAGTGGGGTAAGAAAATTAAACTTAATTCAAATGGAAAACAAGTTTATGTTTCTTACTGCATTTGCAGTTATTTTAGCTTAATTTCACTTCATTTTGATCCCTTTTTTTTTTTAGAAAACAAGACTTACTATCTTGTCATTTTGCTTCTCAAGCTAATTTATCTTGATTTAAGAATAATTAGATATGTGTACTGGAAAACAAGGCAAAAATACTAAGTAAGAAAATCATTTTTGTAGTGCAGTGCAATGCGTATTGTAATGTTGTGTGCTCAGCATTCACTACCTTTACATGTTGTTTGTGGCGACTGGGTAAATACTCCCTCAAAACCATAATATACAGCTGCTGACTTGACAATTTCCAGTGATACGACCGACCCAGTGTGCATCATTATCTCTGCAGCCCTGAATAGGATCATTAAAATCAGTTTTACTTCCAAACGGGCAACAGATCTAGTCATGCCTGCCACACAACATAAGAGGCTCAAAAACACTGAATGACTAAATTATATGAAGATTATTTCACCTTTCCTGTGACACACCCACAAGACTTTTGCCATCCACACTCAGTAACTGATCTCCTGGATTCAGTCTGCCGTCCTTCATCAAAACACAACAGTGTATATAATATGATGCAAACAGGCACATTATGACTTTTGTTATTTACACAATGATACTGACCTCATTTGCTGCTCCTCCCTGGACGACAGATTTGATAAAAATGCCAAGCTTATCCTGTCCACCCCCCTGAAAGATATAATAAATCATTTTGATCACAGACAATTGCACAATAATTTCTGAAATTGTATTATAAAATTACACTAACACTTTACAACAAGGTCTAATTTGTTAATGTACTGTAAAAGCGAACATAAACTAAAATTTTGTGGTATATTTCTTGCAATACAGTTGTTCATTATTTGTTTGATAGTTGACAGTGCATTAAACAATATTAAAACAACAAAAATGAATTAAATGCTGAAATTCCCATAAACTAAGACTACTAAATGCTGTAGAAGTATTCTTCAGGGTAAGTTCATGTTAACTAATGTAAATAAACAAAACCCACTTGGACTTACCTTGGCAGCTACAATGCTCACTCCCATTCCACCATGCAAAGGTTTCTTTAGAGTTATTTTCATTGGTTCAGGTTTCTGTATTGACAAAATAAAATTACGGTTGTGTTCAGTGTTAAAACATGTCTGCTTAATTATGAGCGTATAGAGAGAATTAATTCAGAAGAGCTTCAATAGTAAAATTAGTCCAGATGTGCCTGATGGATGAGGATGATTTTCATTACTACTTCATATAGTGTTAACTCTTGGCTGTTTTATGGGAATTAATAACTTTAATTTCATCTGTAAATTAGCAACATACCCAAGCTGAACCCTTTGCGGAGTGATCCGATGGGCTAAAGAAAATGGTCCAAGTCCCAACGCAGTTGGAATGGGGAATTAATTTACAGAGACCTAGAGAATTACAGATATATGTATCTTTAACTATTGATTTTAAGTCTATATATTGACTTTACACTATCACAAAAGGAACAGATAATGCTATAGTACCTTTGCGACAGATGGGTTCTAAAAACTCCGGAAATCCCTTAGGAATGCCACGCATGGAATCACTTGAATATCTGTCCTCAGGCAACAGCAAAGGCAGGTGAAGGTCCAGTTCTTCTTCCAGTCGGATTTCTCCACCCTCTCGTCTCAGAACGTCTGTTGTGGTTTCTGCTAAAGCGCATACACGCTCTATCAGTTCCTATGAATGACAAACTCTTTCAGTGGGGCTACAGAACAATTATGCCTACACTGCAAAATATGACTTTCTTCCTCAGTATTATTGTCGTTTTACAACACAAATATCTAGAGAAACAATAATGTACAGTATGTGGAAAATAATGTGTTTTTTTAACTTTAAACCGCATAAACACATTTCATTACACCAAATACACAAAATAATGTTCTTTTTAGCAGCATCATATGACCACTTTAAATCAAGACACATTAACTTAAGAAACTATAGGAGAGTATTAAGTCTTGTTCTCTGTGAGCTTTGTAAAAATCGACGCGTTTCAAAAAGGCGGGGCATAGAGGAGAAACAATAATGTACAGTATGTGGAAAATAATGTGTTTTTTTTACTTTAAACCGCATAAACACATTTCATTACACCAAATACACAAAATAATGTTCTTTTTAGCAGCATCATATGACCCCTTTAAATCAAGACACATTTACTTAAGAAACTATAGGAGAGTATTAAGTCTTGATCTCTTAAAAATGTATCAAAATGAAGTGAGTTAAGCTTAAATGAGAATAAAATATCTGCCAATGGGGTAAGAAAATAAACTTGATTCAAAGGGAAAACAAGTTTATTTTTCTGACCATATATTTCCTTTTTTCTTTTTTTTAAGGTAAAACGCTCTTGATTTTTATACATTTTTCAGAAAACAAGACTTTATCTTAAGTCATTTTGTTTCTCAAGTTAATGTATGTAGATTTAAGAATGTTTAGATATTTGTACTGGAAAATAAGACAAAAACAGTCTAAACATTCTTAAATCAAGATACAGTTACTTAAGCAAAATGACATGCTTGTTTTCTAAAAAATGTAATGTGTTAAAACGTTTAAGCCTAAAACAAGAAAAAAAATCTGCCAATGGGGTAAGAAAAATAGGAAAAACAGCAATTTTGTAAAATTTAAACTCAAAGTTTAAACAAGACAGTTATCTTCATTAATACATTGCTTTTCAGGTTAATGTTTCTTGATTTTAGAATGTTTAGATATTTTTACTGGACAAAAGACATTAAAAATATTAAGTTAAATATTATGAAAAAATTTTGCAGTTTATTTTACTTTTAAGTTTATTTTTTGGAGCATAGTTGTATTTTTCTGACCATATCTATCATATTGTTTTCTTGTTTTACGCTTAAACTCACTTAATTTTGATACATTAAAAAAAAAAAAGACTTCATTTCTTATGTAATTTTGCTTCTTAGTTTTAAGCATCTTTTTGTGTAGAAGGTTTAGATATTTGTACTGGATAGTAAGAAAAAAATCATTTATAGCAGTTTTGATTTTGGTGAGCGTTCATTTTTCTTATGCTTTAAAAAAAGTACAAATATCTGCCAATATGATAAGAAAAACAAATATGACTTGTTTTCACTTTGAATTTGAAAGTTTTTTTTTTTACCCCATTGGCATATTGTTTTCTTGTTTTACGCTTAAACTCACTTAATTTTGATACATAAAAAAAAAAAAAAAAAGACTTCATTTCTTATGTCATTTTGCTTCTTAGTTTTAAGCATCTTTTTGTGTAGAAGGTTTAGATATTTGTACTGGATAGTAAGAAAAAATATATATTTACATTTATAATACATTTATAGCAGTTTTGATTTTGGTGAGCGTTCATTTTTCTTCATGCACTTACGGCTGAAAAGTGGGGTTGATTTCGGCTGTGGTGATATTTGCTCATCAGTGCTCTCAGCTGTAAGAATCTACTGGAAGCCTGCTTCAAATATTTTTGAGGGAATTTTGAGGAAGGAAAAGAAATGGAAAGGAAAGGAAAGGAAAAGGAAAATATATATATTTTAAAATATAAAATATTTTATGAAATACTTCTTTGATTAGCAGTTTTGATTTTGGTGAGCGTTCATTTTTCTTCATGCACTTACGGCTGAAAAGTGGGGTTGATTTCGGCTGTGGTGATATTTGCTCATCAGTGCTCTCAGCTGTAGCGAGTTCAGCTTGTAGCATGTGGACTGAATCATCTGGGCGTCTCGTGTAGAGTAAGAGGTCATGGTTAGAAGCATCGTCGCCTGAAGGGAGCAACATTTTTAAGGAAATAACCACGGATGGGTCAGATCTTTTGATGCTGATAAAGATCTAAATAATATTGTTCAAAACAGCAGTTACATCATTTTGCATGCTGTATTCCTTATCATCTCTTTAAAAACACCACCTGGATTACACGACTGAGATGGCAGTCAACGGCCAGCTCCAGCCCTTGTCTTTCTGCCCAGGCCTCCACGTGCATCAGTCGCTGCCATAGAGTTTTGCCCCAGTAGTTCGAGCACAGTGTGGATCCCGGCACGGTGAGCCGGTTCAAGATCCAGGCCCCCACGAAGTGAAAGAGCTGAGAAAAAAGCTGGATGCTCAGAGCAGGGTTGACCCGACACCTTCGGAGCAAACTCATGGTCTTTACGAGAGTGTTCAAGACGCCTTCTAAGAAACAAATTCAGAACAGAACAGATTCTTCATTTGCAACACTACACACATCACCATCTTTAATCCAGATGTTTTATCATCTGAAGCAATTTACAGGAATAGTTCATGCAAAAATGAACATTTACTCACCCTCAGGCCATCCAAGATGTAGATGAGTTTGTTTCTTTATGGAAACAGATTTGGAGAAATGTGGTATTACATCACTTGCTCACTTACATCACAATAATCCACAAGTAATCCACACCACTCCAGTCCATCAGTAAACACCTTGTGACAGCTGCATATTTGTTAGAAAGAAAATCCATAATTACGACGTTTTAACTTTAAATCATTGCTTTTATAAAATACAAGAACATAACCTATATAAGGTGGAAGAAGTCTATCTCCAACATACTTGTATAGAACTGATTTGGACTATTTTCACTTGTAAACAGTGCTTGATCTGTGCAGATTTCTCTCCTGATTCAACGTTTTTCACTGGAGAAAGCAATAATATGAATAGATGACTCTATCTTAGCCAGAATCAACGTCTTGAAGTTAAAAACGTCTTGATGGATTTATTTCTAATAAACACGCAGCTTTTGCCGTCTCAAGATGTTAAGTGATGGACTGGAGTGGTGTGGATTACTTGTGGATTATTGTGATGTTTTTATCAGCTGTTTGGATTCTCATTCTGACGGCACCCATTCACTGCTGAGGATTCATTGGTGAGCAAGTGATGCACTCTGCTACATTTCTCCAAATCTGTTCCCATGAAGACACAAACTCATCTTGTATGGCCTGAGGGTGAGGACAATTTCAGCTAATTTCAGATCATTTTTGGTTGAACTATTTCTTTAATGCAGCAGTTCAATGGTGGTTAACATTAATGCAAGTTTACAGCAATAATAGCAAATCAGGAATTATTTTTAAAAAGAAGCCCGACCTTCATGTTGACTTTTAAACTGATCTGATTAAATGTACAGTATGCCACTAGAACAGAGAATGTGAAGGCTGTGTTCTCATAAAGTGAGCTGTACATACTGTGTGACACACAGGCAGCAGGTCATGTTCGCTGGAACTTTACGACTGTAATATATGTCTTTAATAAGTATCAGGGGCTGTGTTCCGAATGGAATGCTAGCATACTGCATAGTATGCACTGCATACTTATTTTTTACTTTAAACCGTAATTGAAACCGTATGCAATCATAAACGCTTCTTACTGCTGTCAAATGACCTCATGGCATTGCATGCTTTAATCCACTTATCTCATTTTAATGCAGTTTTATCTGAAAATGTCTTAATCTTTGGCAGTTCAATCAAATGAGTCAGCAAGGTTGATCATGGTTGATGTGATTTACTTTTCATTCATCACACTAGAAATTGAAGGTCAAGTTGAGTGTGTCGCATAGTGGAATACAGTATTCATACAGTAAATACAGAAAATTCCATGCATACTGTAGAAATAGTTCGGTAGTATGATATTCTTAACACAGCTGAAGTGTTTGGCACAGTGAGTAGCCTGAATTCACTGTAAGTAATCCATGTACATAGACTCCGTCATGCAGCTCCACGGTACTTCCCATTATGACATCACAGGAGGCGGAGCTTGTTTTCCCTCCCTTCATAATGCCTTATGGGTACTCTGATATATCAACAATTAGATACAGTGAGTTCTTATAACAAATGTCTCAGTAACACTACAGTAAGGTTCTATTTGTTAACTACATCAGTTAACATGAACGAATAATAAAATTTACTAAAGCATTTATTAATTTTAATGTTAACTTCTATGGAGAACCAAACTTGCAAAAAAAAAAAAATTAATGAATAAATGTAATAATAGGAAAATCACTAAAATTACCTACCTGTTTGTTTTACTGCCAGAGACACTGTTCTCTAACATGTGACTGCTAGAAACGTTTTTCTTCTGTTTATGTTTCTTCTCTTTCTTTGATAATGTCCTCTTGAAATGTTCAATTACTCCAACTTTTTCCTTATTTTCCAAACAGCCATCCTAAAAAAAGTTATTTTTCGTTCACTCCAAAATTCTTATATTTAACTTACTTATTTGATATAACAACTCGTGGATTTAGTAGAATGACAGGGACGTCACACACCTGTAAAGTTACACAACTGTCATTCCTCAAGACAAATCTGCCATCTGTGTCTTTATTCCAGTTGAGTTGAACCACCAAGGGCTTTTCTGAAAGGTCCAGTTTTCTTTCTTCTAAATGGCAAAAACACAGAACGTTAAGTCAACTCTCACAAGGACTGAGAACAGAAGTGTGCCTATAAACACAAGTTAAATTCAGTCCTGCTGTCACCTTGATTTTTTAAGACCTCATACAATGAATATGAGAAAGGCTGTGAGGTCCAATCATGTTGAAACTTCTCCAGCAGCGTTTCAATGACCTCTTGTGTGGTAGAAGCGCTTGAGATACAAATGCATTTTGTGGCACAGTTCCCTGAAATATGGTCTTGGAGGTGGAAACGAATAACTCCATGAAATACAGAATCCTAAAGAATAAAAAAGATTATTAAATTTATCTCAATTTATCCTACGAGATTAAATAGAAAATGTAAAATGCAAACTAAAAAAACAAAAAAAAACACATGAAATTTCTTTAATATCTAATTTTTTTGCTAGACAGCAATGAGATTAAATGGAAACATTAAATGCAAACTAAACTACATCAAAAATTAAAACCAAACATGACATTTCTTTAATATCTCAATTTTGAATCCTAGACAGCAATGAGATTAAATGGAAAATGTAAACAAAGCAAATTAAATAAAAAATAAGTATAAATAAATTGAATTACTTTAATATCTCAATTTTTTTATACTAGCAGCAATAGGATGGAAAACATGAAACATCCATCAGTAAACACCTTGTGACAGCTGCATATTTGTTAGAAAGAAAATCCATAATTACGACGTTTTAACTTTAAATCATTGCTTTTATAAAATACAAGAACATAACCTATATAAGGTGGAAGAAGTCTATCTCCAACATACTTGTATAGAACTGATTTGGACTATTTTCACTTGTAAACAGTGCTTGATCTGTGCAGATTTCTCTCCTGATTCAACGTTTTTCACTGGAGAAAGCAATAATATGAATAGATGACTCTATCTTAGCCAGAATCAACGTCTTGAAGTTAAAAACGTCTTGATGGATTTATTTCTAATAAACACGCAGCTTTTGCCTTCTCAAGATGTTAATTGATGGACTGGAGTGCTGTGGATTACTTGTGGATTATTGTGATGTTTTTATCAGCTGTTTGGATTCTCATTCTGACGGCACCCATTCACTGCTGAGGATTCATTGGTGAGCAAGTGATGGAATGTTTTTGTTTGTTTTTTTTGCTCAAATGCATAATGATAAAAGTTTACTGATCATCCAAACATAAAATCTGACCCATCTGCACTGCAAAAAAATATTTTCTTTCTTAGTATTTTTGTATTGTTCTCCAGTACAAACAAAAAAAATCTAAAAAACAAATTTAATGAGTATATCTCAATTTTGAATCCTAGACAGCAATGAGATTAAATGGAAAATGTAAACAAAGCAAATTAAATTAAAAATAAGTATAAATAAATTGAATTTCTTTAATTAATCTCAATTTTTTTATACTAGCAGCAATAGGATGGAAAACATAAAACACAACCAAAATTAAATTTAAAAAATAATAAAGCATGCAATAAATTTCTGTAACATCTCGATTGTTTATCTTAGAAAGCAATGAGATTCGATGGAAAAATGTGAAAATAAAAATAATCACAAATGGAATTTCTTTAATATTTTATTTATTCTAGACAGCAATTATATTAATCACAAATGAAATTTCTATATCTCAATTGTAAAAAGACCCCGGTAATCAAAATGTGCTCAGATTTGCCAAGAGACCAAAGTCTTTAGTCGAAAGTCAAAGATCTTAGTATGAAGCATCAAATTCTTCAAATTCCATATTTGATGCTATTCATGATTTTTTTTTTTTTTACTTCTTTCTCCTAATGAACAGTCTGAACAATTTGAAAACGTAAAATTGTAGATCTAACATTACTAAACCTATTTGTAAAAGTCAAATCTTTAAAAAGAGAAAAGTGTTCACCTCATCAGGTTCAGTGATCTCAAACAGGCTGAGTCGGTTTGAATTCCACTGTCGGATGTTTTCCTGAAGTCTCCTGCGCTCCTCTGGATTCATCTCAGCACCATGACCCGAATCAACAGCATTTCTTTGTTTTTGCTTCGTTTCTTGATGAGCTTATCAGATATAGATTTTTTTTTTTTATAAAAATCAACCAACTTGGTATCAAAATGAAGCAGAGCTGCGGAGGCTCACTAAACTTCACGTTATTCTCCCGTCAAATGCCTGCATGGCACTGATTTTTTCCAGCCTGATTAACATTCAGACTGATGGTTGATTGTTTGAGTTTGTTTGACCCATTAACACATAGCAGTTGAAAGACTAACCTCATTTCCCATGTTGTCCTAATGTATAGGGCTACATTAACACTAAAGAATGAAATAGGGAGGGCCATAATTTGCCCATTCAAGCCTCATTTAAAGGAAATGCTCTACTTTTTAGTGCCCATTTGATTGTTTTTGTCCAATATGTTCAGCAAACTGACTAAATCTGCTCTGCTGAACTAGAATGACTAGATTGGGTGTTGGAATACAATGAATGTACCCTTCTGTTCAGACTCAGACACTAACGTATAACATAATAAAAGAGAATTTACAGGTCACCACACGTTAATTAACATAAACTACTGTGTGTCAATAAAAGCATTTCATTAAAAGCGAGTTTCATGGATGGCTGGATGTGAGTTATGACCATGAATATAAAACAGGCTAGGCTACAACACCCAGAATGTGAACAATTTAAAAATATATAGACACATTAGATATTAAATATGAAGAGACACATTTAATGAACAAAAGAAATATAGCCAGCAAATAAAGCATTTAAAATGTGGAAATATGTCATTTAAAATGTCTAAAATCATCTGAATGCACCTATACTTTCATTTTTTCTTTTGGATGCATATTGCATATATGATATTACGCTAATATTACAGTACATGGTGATGCTATCAACCATAAATGTTCTGATTACATTTATTGTTTGCAAATGAAATCATTTCTTTGGTTTTGATAATTTTGATACTTATACTGTTAAACAGTTGCATAAAAAGGTGTATTTAGGGACACATACAGAAAGCTCACCATGCATATATCAAGATGAGGGTGTGTTTCCTCATTTTAGGAGTCTTAAATAAAAATTTATATGAAGGGCGAACAATTTCCTCTTGTTTTTCTATCAGAAGATCCATCTAAAAACCGATACAAAAGAGTTCCTTTTTAATAATAGTGTTTTTCGGAGTACTGGTGTAGAAGACTTATTTGAGACACATTGTTATACACAGACACAACAAGAACTAATCCCTGATGTGAACTAAAACAAATAGAGCAAAAAGGAAATTCCAGGTCATATGTACAGTATGGTTCCACCACAATGTTATTTTTAGTGTAAAAAAGGATTCTCTTGAAGGCATTTCAAATACAGAATCATATGAGTCAAAATTTGATTTTAATTATAAATGTTGACTATAGTTTGGTTTGTATATATTTTGGCATACTGTTGATTTTCATTAAAAATACTACCAATTTAGTCTGTTTATAAAGCCACAAGTCTTGCACAACAAAACTACCTTTTGCAAACGTGTCTATGGCAGCATGGAAATTATAAAATTGATGATAAAATAAATATTTAAGCATCAATAACGCTTACTGCAAAAAACATCATGCTTAATGTAATGAAAACCGTTTTATATATTATATATAAAATATATTTATTTTATTTTTTTCTATTTCTATTTAAATATTAATATAATAATGTCTAAATCTTGAATGCATATCATTTTGTAATTGACTTCCAAACTCATATGTAGGAACTTCCCAGAAGGACTTAAAGGCAGTAAAAACAAACAAACATTGGTTATACGTATACAGCAACGAGTTTGATAAATAGTCTGAGTATAATTACCTCTTGAAAGTCTTCAGGAAGTAATCTTTTATTGCACTTGGCGATGCTCTCAACAATTTTTACAGCTTCTTTTGTCTTCCTTTGTGACAGTAACCATCTGGGAGACTCTGGAATAACCCTGTTTCAACATTAATGTCTGCCATCCAGCAAATGATATGATAGAATCATATATAAAGATACCAATAACTTATGTAGAATGACTAAAGAGAACCTTCATTTCAAATGTGATTAAGAATCACTCATAAATATGTTATAGTTCCAATGCAAGCAATTACAATCAATTAAGTAACCTTCCATAACAAAATGAAATTACATAATTTAGGAATCTTGTAAATCCAGTTAAACAAATTAACAGTAGGCTACTTGCTTGTAGTTTCACCATAGAGACCAACACCCACAATAATCACAATGAATAATTAATTCCTTGCTTAACTGTCAAATCCTGAGGTAATTCTCCCGTTTTTACATAGGCGATGCTCTCAACAATTTTTACAGCTTCTTTTGTCTTCCTTTGTGACAGTAACCATCTGGGAGACTCTGGAATAACCCTGTTTCAACATTAATGTCTGCCATCCAGCAAATGATATATGATAGAATCATATATAAAGATACAAATAACTTATGTAGAATGACTAAAGAGAACCTTCATTTCAAATGTGATTAAAATCAATCATAAATATGTTATTGTTCCATTGCAAGCAATTACCAGTGATAGACCAGAAAGATGAATGTTGGTAGAGTCATTGCCAGCTGTAGGTTTTTCCATGAAGGAATGTAATACGCCAGAGCAGGAAGGAGCACCAAACCCAACAAGTACAGAGTACGGGACATAACGGAGACAAATTTCCTGTTGTTTGATCCAAAGAACTCGATAACTGTTTCGAAAAAGGAAAATATATCAAGAAAACACATTCCTGTAGCTCACACGGCAGAGCATGGTGCCTAGCAACTCCAAGATCATTAGTTCGGTTCCCAACGAATGCATGAACTGATAAAATGCATAACTTGTCTTGTATGCAATGCAAGTTGCTTTGGATAAAAGTGTCTGGCAAATGCATGAATGCAATATACGTAACACAAGTTTGCAATCTTAAAGCTCTGGAGCTTAAAGCACTTGAACCTCAAAACTGGATTGGTGATGTTACAAGCAATGTATTTGCTTTTCAGATATAAATGACCAAGTAGTTATATTTAACTGATTTGGAGCTCTAGTCTGATGTTAATTCATATACTCAACAAATAACAGCTATAGTATGGCATCTTATGTACCCACCCAATACATATGTGGAGGTCCATGCTCCTTTGGCGAAAAAGCCATGCAAACATCGAAAGAACAGGAGGAGGGGGTAATATGGTGAAAAAATAATGCATATCCCAGAAGCTGCAAGGCCAAATATTGACGCAATAAAACAAGATTTTCTCCCAAACCTGTAAAGAAAAATGTTATTATTGTCAAGCTCAAGTCTGGAATGTGTTTATATCATGATAGTAAATGCCACTCGATTTTTTGATGCACTTTGAATATAACTAGGCCAGTCACGATAACAACTTTTTGTTGTGCGATATATTGCCCTGTACGAGGAGCTGCAAAAGACACAGGCGCAAGTGGAATGTACAAAACATGGTGACATTAATTTTTAAGTAAATATAATGGGTGATATATTGCGTCACCAAAAATTATTGCGGTCATGTACATATATTGCGCGATAATTCGATATATTGATTATTGCGACAGGCCTAAATATAACATGCTGATACATGAAAGATGAAAAATACCTGTCAGCTAGGTATCCAGTCACTAGGGCACCTATAAAAAACCCTCCAGCTAAGCATACCTGGTTCAGGTCTGCAAGCCAAGAGTCTTCACAAAACAATGAAAACTGGGATACATGAGGACAACATTCAGATTAGGGTAAGTAAACAATGCTCTGACTGCAAAACTAATTAAAAACGTGCACGAACGTATCTACATATCACTAGACATAATCAAAGAGATTAATCTATATTTAGTCACTATATCAAGGAGTAGTGTCAAACGATTAGTCGCATCCACAATAAAAGTTTTTGTTTATATGTGTGTGTACTGTGTATATTTATTATGTGCATATAAATACACACATACGGTTTATATTTTATACATATATTTAATACATAAAATTAACATTTTTCTAAAATATATACATGCATGTGTGTATTTATCAGAATCAGAATCAGAAAGAGCTTTATTGCCAAGTATGTTTGCACATACAAGGAATTTGTTATAGTGTCACAAGCTTCCAGTACACGGAGACAACAACAACACACAGATAATAAAAATGAGATGTGAATAAAATACACATGCATAAATATAAACCACAAAAAAAAGAATAAATT